TGTGAAATGCTAATAATATATAGATACTATTGGATATTATTTCTTAATGCAATCCCCACCCCACTCCCCCAAATTTAAGAGAAAAAAAGAAATCCAGAAACAGAACATCAGAAGAAGAAATGAAATAACGAAGCATAAAAAATGTAAGAAACACCAATGAAGGCAGTAGAGACAAATTGAAATAAATGGCCAAGCATTATAATCTACACCTTGGACAAAACAAGTGCATATATGTTAACAATCTTGCAAACATTTTATAATCAACAACATATTACCCATAAAATTTGAGCCAGAAATCATCACTCAAACTGTTGACCTCTCCACTATATAACTTGCAATGTGAAGACAAAAAATATGGCCCATAATGAGTAGCTGGGAGAAATTTCATATGATGAATCTGAACATAAACTATTGTATGCCAATTAAAAATAGGGTACAAGAAAAAGATGAAATGTAGAGGAGTTCAGACCACTCAAATAACAAAATAATACTATCTATAAAAGAAAAGAAAATGCAAGACAGACAACTGGACCATTTTAAATTTTTTGCCTAAAGAGTCACATAATAACAAGAGCTAATTATTTTAGTTAGCTGAGCAAAAATAAAATATTGGGTACATGATTATTTACTTGATTTTTGGAGTTCAAAATCTACAATAAGCAAATAAAAGTGAGTAAATCAATTTGTAAATAATCAAGATTCATCAATGTTATAATTCAAAGGAGTAAATAACTATTAGCAAATAAATAGAATATATAAATAATTTTTCACGGGAATTAAATGTACCAAAATTGAAAAATAAAAGAAAAAAATCAACTAAAACCATGAGTAACAAGCATTCAAAGAGAACAACCTCCTTAAGATTGATAATAAACTAAACTTGTGCTGTGTTAAAATAAATAAAGAGAAATTCGCTGAGCACATAACACTAAACAAAAAAAACGTAATGTTAAATAAACTTTATGTCATAAGTAAAGAAAAAAAAAACCTTTCAATTAACAAAT